AGAGACCTGCCAGCCCCCACAGAGCCCCCTCCCTGCCCCTTCCCGGCCCCTGCCATGACCTTTCCTCCTCCCCTGCTCTTCCTCCCCGCCCGTCCTCTACCTCTGCACGCAGCCAAGCAGCTCTGGCGCAAACCAACACGGGCAAAACGCCGTGGGACACCGTGCGCGGGGAGTGCCCGGAGAGAGGGAGGTGGCTGGGGGCGGTTAACAGGAGGGAAAAAATTAACGAGGTGAGAGAGCGATAAACCCGACATAAAATAAAATTGGAAATGCCTCTAGTTAAAGATTAGACTTCGATCAGCAGCTTTTGGGTTTTTCCTGGCTGCAGGCGTGCTGCCTCAAAGCTTCGCAGAGCCTGCAGCCCCCCGCGATCCCTCAGCACTCCCACCCCTTTCCCTGCTGGAAAGGGGACGTTGTCCCTGCGGTGGCCTCCGGAGCCCGGGGAGCCAGCCGGAGGGCCGGGAGCGAGGGCTGGGAGCGAGGGCTGCCGCTGGTTATTTGCATGCTCCAGAAATAAAGGGCTCTGCCTTTTCCCATCCCCACCGCACGTCTGATATCGACACAAATGAGGGCGATGATGGGACAGAACAAAAATAATGGCTCTTATCTCGGGGAGGCCGAGGAAGCCGCAGCAGCTCTTTGCCAAGGCGTGGCGCGGGGTGCGGGAGCCCTGATTTGCAAAGAGCCCTTGGACGGGAGCCCCGAGCTGGGGCGTGCTGGGGTGCAACCCGGGCAACCCAGGTCTGAAGCGGGGAGCTGGTCCCCCCCGCGCCGGGCTGCCTCCGCGGAAGGACGGGGGAAGCGCCGGGCCCCGGCTGAACGAAGACCTTGTATTTTTAAGAGCCAAATGAGTCACCAGAGCTGCGGGGCGCAGCAGCGGCCCGGGCACACCCTCCCGTCCCTGTTTTCCTCCTCCTTCGGCCGACTTTCTCCACCTGGGGAGCAGCGCTGCCGTGCCAGCAGGGCGAGGGATGGGCGCCCATTGCAGCCCTTGACCTCTGCAAACCGCTCCGTTGCAAGCGGCAGGTTACGAACTCTGCAGGTTCACCCAAGCTGGCCACAAAAGCACCACTTCCTCCTCCTCCTCCTCCTCAACCTCAACCTCCTCCTCCTCCCCCCATGGCCACGCACAAAGCCCCATGGGGACATCGGGCACCGCAGGCTGCAGGTCCAGCCCGGGAGCCTCCAGTTTGTGCCGAGTTCACCGCGGGGAAGGTTCCTGCCTGGCACCGGCTTTCGCCCTTAAAGGGGGCGCTTTGCCCCGGGCAGGAGGAACCCCAACGTGTCCCCTGTCACCATCCCTCCGCCGCGTGTCCGGGCTTGGCCCCCAACGAGCACGGAGCGTGGCTGCAGCAGCTCGCCCACGGCGCAGCTCTCCCCGCCACCCCAGCCGGCGTCTTTCAGCGGAGGGAAAAACGTTTCAGCTGTTAATTATTAACTTCTATGGCTTTCTTACGGCGGCACAAGGGGAGAGGTGAGCTGAAGCGTAAAAGTAGCGGCTGGGCTCCTTCGAGCGCGCGGCACCGGCGTCGGCAGCGTGGGACATGCCAGGACCTTTCCCAGCAGAACAGCAGAGGCTTTGTAGGAGGTTGTTGTTGTTGTTGCTGCTGGGATCTGCTCGGGATCTGAGACGAGCAGGCAGCTCCGAGCATAGGCGTAAGCTTAAGGCTTTCCAAAATCAGAGCCTTTCAGCCACGTGCTTGAGCTGTCTGCCAGACCCAGTGCTTTCATCCGTCCTCCTCGGGGGA